AACCTACGTTTCTTGGATGTGGTTATAACTTATATTTAAATATTTCGTAAATGAAAATAAAGAAACACAAACGATACTGTGTTCAACAAAAAAATTTCCGCTCACAACGATTTAAGTGTCACGCTCTTACCTGTCATAAGCTTACACACATATTATTAGTTAAGCTTATAGCATTCACAATAAATTCAATAAAAGAAAATAAAGACACATAAGAACCACTTACCATGACTTTGCCAAGTTTTTGACGGCGTTAGAAACTTCTTTTGAATTGTATTTGAAAAATGATATGATGAGCTTATGGTAACTTATGTCAGAACTGTAAACTGTTGATTGTAACGTAACAAGAAATCTATAAGAACTTGAATCAATTGCTGTAGCTATTTAAAGTTGGTTAAAAGAGATCACTGTTTAGGCACACATCAAATTTGTCAAAAAAAATTTATCAATGGTTGTAAATCTTCCAAGACAAGATTAATGTTAAAATCAGTACTTAACATTAGTGGCAAGGTGTGTTTATGTTATCCCACCTCTTCAGAACCAACTTTTCTATAAGTAAGTTATTGTCTGTGAAAAAATTTTATAATGTTTTGTATGCTTTGATCTAGTGGTATACTATACACCACAACAATGGCAATTTTTCTAGCATGTTCTAAAAAACAGTATGCTAAGCAGATATCGCCTACAGTTGAAGTTCCTATGTTTACTCCTCTCACATTTCTTTTTTCAATATCCATACTTAACGCATGGATATTCAAAATATCTGCTTCAGTTAAGTAAATAGGAACACCCGCTGCTTTAAGACTTTATCGTTTGTTTGTACTGTGTAATTAAATTAAAAATATTAAAAGTATTATTAGTACCAATCCACGTCTCAGATAATAGCAAAAAAATGCTTTTATCACTGACAGTAGCTATGAAGTCTAGAGCATGTTGTCTAAGGCTTTGACAATTTCATGAAAAATAATGAACACTCTTTATTATAAAAACTGATAGTGACTTAGATAACAATTTGTTATTCATTTGAAGATAATGTTTTGAGATTTTTTTTAAAAGATATTACATATAAATCACATCTTCAACCACGGTAAAAATTCAAGTCACCTGTTTCATTGACAGTAAAAATGTATATCAGTTACTCGTGAGAGTTTGACACATCGTAATTGTATTGCAAAAGATTATCTTTGAAAACTTGCGCAAATTTAGTGCTCTGTGATTTAAAAATCATTTTTGCATGTTTACTAACTACAGGAAAATGATTTTTTTTCACTCCAATAATTTTATTATTATTCATTAGAATTAAAGACTTCTACCTTTTTATAGGAGCACCTCTTTCTGAAGTATTTTTAGCAATAGCACATGCAGCTACTGTTAACCTTACTTTTTGTACTGTTTTTTTATCTAAAAACCATAACTATACTTTCGTCATTTTTTTGGTCATTATTTTGTTACAAGTAAACTAAGATTTTACTAACACCATTAGCAAAACCATTGGCTACGCCAATATTATACGTAAAAATAAAACGTTTGTTTCATTTGTATGTTATTCCGTGTGACATCCTGTGGCAATTGTAGACATTTTATAAGGTTTTTCGTTTATTTTTCTTATATCTAGAGAGTATTTTATTAGTTGTTGATGTAATCTTGTTAACACATGTTTGTCAGACATGATCATTATAATAAGAAATAGGGTTGTTATGATGAAATAAACGTATTCCGTGAACACAAAGCCTGTTAGCATCTTCTTCATATAAAGTCCCATTAGTTTGGGTCTAATAATACTAACTGCATGAATAGTAAGTTCTTTAGCCTATTCAAATAATGTTCTGTATTATTAAGCGATTTCTGTTGTTAGAGGAAGTAGTTTGGACATAGAAATTTTAAATGCTGTATGACCAGTTGTATATCTATGGGAACAGCAGCTTCTTCTGTTGCTGCACATATCATGTATGCATAACAGTAACAATAAGTGTCACCAACACAATGATATGTTTCCATGATTAATTTAATAATATAGGTATTTTTACAGTTAGTTGATCTTGTAAGAATTATGCTCAAAGAAAAATTCTAAGCTGTCAAAACATGATTTGCAAACGTGCATCAATAATGTTTTCTTATTTCTTGCGATAATACTTAATTTGTTAATAGTGGCAATACGCATACGCAAATTAAAATTTGCATTTGTATTATTGTCCAATTCTTAAAACGGTTGAGGAAATAGAATATTTTAAGCTATATCGTTCACGTCATCTCTCTTCAGGACCTTGATTTTTTGACACATCTGGTGACATATTTCTATTGTTTTACCATTATCAAAATTGGATTGAAATTTTTCTCACACATTCGAAATCAGATTTTCAATCTTTTTGTTAATTTTAATATGTTCCAATCAAAACAAAGTATCGTTGTCTTTATTCTGAAACAGTATATGTAAAGTAATTATTTTTCTTTCTTATTTGTTAAGATCATTGCCTATGCCATCATTTCCATATATGATAATTCTTGGGTCTTTTCTTTCCATTTATTGCTGTTTTTTTATTTTTTATTATATTTTAAAACAAATTGTACAAGTGTAGCATCGTCCAGTTTATAAGTTCGTTTTCTATTCTTAATAATAAAAACTAATTTCCGGTTGTCAAATGAACGTCGAGTTCATTCATTTCTTTAATAGTTTTTCTAATATTTTCTTGCTCAATGGGCCATACAGTGTAAATATAAACAACAGCAAAAGAACTTTGAGACATAGCCACTCAGAGTAAATACAAAGCTGCCTTTTGACTTGTCATTGTAATACTGTTCATTATGTCAGCACTCATTTTTTAAGTAATTTCAAGATTTTTAAACTGAGGACTTCCATTTGTTATTTCTGCCAAATTTTTTGCAAATGACTCATGCCCTCGTTTGTTTATAGACGTATACAACAACGTAAGCAGTATAGAAGTATTTTTTAAAAATGAAATAAGTTAATTAGTTAGTTACTTGAGGACAATAAGTAGACACAAGTATCTTTCAATAAGGCAACGCTTCACTGGCTTAGGTTTTGTTAGCCACATAAAACCAGAATAACTTATTGACTATAAACACACAAAACAACACAAAATAAAATACAAAAGCTTACAATGCAAAAGAAAAAATGAATCGGTCGATAATTATTACTGTTTAAAAATTATAAGAAACGATTCGGCATCACTGAAATAAAACGAGCAAAAGTTAACTCTAGTCAATGGAAATTAAAAAATTTTTCTACTCCATCTGATTATATTTTAATATCTCTTAAAGTGACATCATTGTTTGCTAAAACACCGTGTAAACTTTTATTAGAAAGTCTGGATAAAAGATAACAACATACACATAATAAATGTAAAATTTTCTTAATGTGCTTAGAGACTGTTTTTAATTTTTGTTTCATAATACCTTTTTAAACTTAATGGCACTACCTATCGACAAACATTTATCACACCTATGGGCTATTTCACTTATGTTTGCTGATCTTGTGAGGACTGATTGTTAATCAAATTGCCTACAATTAATTTAAAAAAAATATATTTGTACAACCCTTTTTTATCACCACTACGTTAATGACACGATACTATGCATTCATAGGAATGGTATTAATATTGTTTTAAAGGTCTTTAATAGCCTCTAGGGTATCTAAATCTTTACAAATAAGCTTAAATAGAATTATAGAATACATTCTCTGATTAAATTAATAATGAAAAATTCTCAGATTATTTTAAATTCGTTCAATAAAGAAACATCTACTTTTCGTACCGTAAACTTTTGTTCTAATTACTCGCTCCTGTTAGAAGAAAAGTTTTATAATTTATTAAATCCTCTTATCTTACTATTACATTGTTGTTCTTACAGTAATGAGAATAAAAATAATATTGTAAGACAGTTGCTCCTTGAAAATGACTACGTGACTTCGTTTATTCATAAATATAATAAATGCCGTACCTCTGCTCTAAAAAATTAACCTTTTTACTATTCAGTTTTCCTATATCCTGATTATTATATTGTTAAACTATTTATACCCATTCCATTTGTCAATAATCAGTTTTGCTTAAAATATTATAACAGCCTCAGGCCACATAATGTTTATGTTACACCATTGATTATTTGATTTATGAGCCTCCTAGTACTATTATTAAATTAGGTAGAGATAAAACATCCAAGTAAAATACGACTAATGCCGTGTATAAGTTCTCTTGTGGCAATGGTCCTGCTAGTTATGTTGGACGAACATGAGCAATAAAACATCGTAATAATGAATACTTTTCAGGATATAAATGAGATTCAGTTGTTTCTGAGCATGTAATTAATTTTTGACATAATTGCAACTACAACTCTGTTATAATATGTAATACAGAACCCAACTACAATAAAAGACTGTTATTACAGTCGATTTATATTAATTGAAAAAAAAGTACTTTAAGTAAGTAAGGAGACGTTGATAGGCTTAGTTGAGTGTATTTATCCTTGCAAAAAGTATTGTTACGTTCAAGCAAAAAATGCTTGACGAACGCGGGGATCTCAATATCAATTGTTCGGGAATTACTGAGGATCAATAAACTGTTAAGTGGTAGTAGTTTAAATAGCGTTTATTTAATAGCGTATGTATTTACAATAGCGGTTAGCGGAGCTCAGAGCGCAATTGATGTTGGCTCTTTGCTTGTTAAGACGTATCTGATTTATTACAATAATAGCGGAGAGAATAACTAAAGTTAACTATACAAATATACACTGTAGTCGTTATATGAGTCAGAGTAGAAAAAGAGAGATAAGATAAGAAAATATAAGTTCTGAAATTAAAGTATGTATAAATGTAAAGTGAAAGTTATAAAATTGATAAGTGTTACTTTTAGATGATAAAGCAAAGGTAAAGCTATTACACTTCCAGGAAATATAACTATTGCATTTACAGTATTGTGCTAAAGAAAATTAGAAAATGAAGAGAGAATTAAAAGTTTACGATTGGCGTGAACATACCGCCCGCCATTTTATTATGAAAAAATAAAATTAGGATGCGTCGATGTTCTGGCGAAATTCGATGATAGAGTTGATAGCAGCTTAGATTGCCCGATCGGCCCGGATAAAATCCAACCCATTGCAGTCTGCTGAGCGATGGGTGCATCGGGACGCTGAGGTTGACGAAGACCTGGTCGTATTATTTGGGCGTACACTGCAGCGCCTAGTAGCAGTTCAATTGGTTCACTAGATGGTGAATCCAAACGGTCGGCAAGCTGCAGGTCACGTAGATAAGGCCATTCGTCGGTAGGCCGATGCACTCGAGGTCGATATGACGTGACCGCCCCAAGCAGAAGCACATCCACATCAAGAGAGTAGGGAGCACATCGAGACTTGACGGTGATCCTGCTTCGGCCAAGGGCAGCTGTAGGATGAACACCACCTATTCCATCGGTCGATACACAAGCAGGGCTGCGTGGAAGCTGCAGTGAGTTGGCCAAGCGTTGCGACAGGAACGAGCACTGCGATCCTTGATCGATCAACGCTCGAACACAATGTTCCTGGCCATCCGCCCCCACCAGACTGACCCATGCTGTAGGTAGCAATGTTGGCGCAAAAGATGTTGTTTCGCTTACCAAAACTTTGAGAGGCTCGTCGCATCGAATCGGCACAGAAGAATTGGCAGAGACGACAGCCACATGGGAGTTTGTTAAGGCGCTAACGTGTATAGACGTGTGGTGCTTAGCCCCACAAACAAAACAAGTCCTCCCGGAGCAACAGGTTGAAACTTCGTGAGAGCCCAAGCAGTTCTCACATAACTGCTTCTCAAGCACGGATTCCCTCCTTTGCATTGAATTCCTGGCTTTGAAGGCTTCGCAAGTCCACAGCTGATGATGCAAGGAGCAGAGAGAACATACCGGCACCTTCGATCTGTATGATGCCTGGTGCGCATGCATGCCTATTGACTGCTGCCCTTTCCCGTTCCTTGAGGCTACGGTTGACAGCGTCAGGATGCGTCCCTCGAGAAACTCAGTCAGCTGACTGAATGCAGCCGGCTTTCTCGAAGTTCCGAGCGATTTTTCCCAATCGCGACGTCTTACGGCGTCCAGTCTATTTGCAAGGATATAAACTAAGACGTCGTCTGAAATTGTTGGCCGTTTAAGATTTTTAAGGCCTTCGACAAGATTTTTGGCGGTTGAAATGATCCGACGGAGGTCTGCCGCATCCTCACCACTGACACACTTCATCAAGAAGAAGCCTTTTAATAGTGCATCAACTTGCACGCGTGGCACCTCAAATGCATCCTTCAGCGCGTCCCAAGTCCGTTGAAAATTGTCACCCTCGAGAGAGATGCCGCGGACGAGCTCAGCTGCGTCTCCGGCCAGACTCGATTTTAAATAAAACAACTTTTCAACGTTGTTTAATAACGAGCTGGAAGAAACGCCAGAAATAAACAAGTCACGAAACTCTGGCCACAACTTGTAGTCACCCGTGAAGGTCGGCAACTTGATCTCGGGCAGTTTGCGCGAAGATGACGTAGGTGCTGACGGAGCTTGAGAAGACGATGCGGCAGTCGGAAGTATCGGCGCAGAATAAGTCTCAAGAAGCGACAGCATAGTGGCAAGGGCAGTCAGATAAAATTCCTTGGTTTTTGCATAGACATCGTTTTTGATATAATCCTGTTCAATTAGATTTTCTTGTAGTGTAAGAAGAGTAAGATAATTGTTTTTGAATTCCTTCCAATTCGTATCTAGGCTATTCATACGAACTGTGATAACGGCGTTAGAATAATTTGCTGTGCCCAACTTAGTAAGGTTTGCCAAAGAATTTCCTATAGCGTTTCGAAGGTTTTCCTGGCGTGCGAGTAATGCATCAGCCGAACTTGCCATGCCGCCCGCCATGCTAGAACGTTACACAAAATCAAAAGTTCACGGCACTGACAGGCACACAAACACGATGGTCACTGCACTTAGCGTATATTGTGTTAGTTTTTAACAGTCAAATGTCACTTTCACAATCCCGAACCACGCTCTACTACCAAAATGTTACGTTTAAGCAAAAAATGCTTGACGAACGCGGGGATCTTAATATCGATTGTTCGGGAATTACTGAGGATCAATAAACTGTTGAGTGGTAGTAGTTTAAATAGAGTTTATTTAATAGCGTATGTATTTACAATAGCGGTTAGCGGAGCTCACAGCGCAATTGATGTTGGCTCTTTGCTTGTTGAGACGTATCTGGTTTATAACAATTCCAGGAAATATAACTATTGCATTTAACGTATTGTGCTAAAAAAAATTAGAAAATAAAAAGAGAATTAAAAGTTCACGATTGGCGTGGACAAGTATTGTCAAATATTGATAAACGCTGAGTGGTCTTATGTACGTCATTGTTGTGGTGTTACTAGTTTCTGTGCCCAGACATAGTCAAACCAGACATAAAGTGTGGCTTGAGCGACTTTTCACTCGTATTTTTTTTTTTGATGCCAATTGGTCAGTACTATGTATTAAATTGTTATAATTATTTACCAGTTGATTTTGTCTTTTTTACTATAAACTTTAGTACTTTATTGTATGTTTTTTTGTGTGTTTATAGTCAATAAAAAAGTCTATCTTGATGAAAATGGCAATACCTAGTCCATTAAAACGTTGCCTTATTATAAGATAGTTGTATCTATTTATTGTCCTTTAGTTATTGATTAATTAATTTTTTTGTTTTGTGTTAGTATATAAAACCACTATAAAACAACTAATTCTTTAAGAATAATTTAAGAATCCATGTTTATAACGCTGAAATTAAAAAGAATGAGTGAATTACGACGTTTTTCAGACGGTAATCGTTTATAAAAATCTCTGGCCTTTTAATTCCTGTTGTTAATATTCTGTGGTAATCATAACTGGATGAAATACGATTTTTCTCGTTAAAATCATTTATAGTATCTTATCTCAAAGTTTTCAAAACTTGTAATTATTTATTATAATAATATAATAATGCATACTGGTTAAATCTTGCTTCTTTTTAAATACGATGTAATATAACAGTCTGTCAAGAAGGCATGAATGGTGCCTTAAATCTGCATTTTTGTGCTTAATTAACAATAACTTACTTGTCGCTCGTCAAAGTGTTTTTATGCTTCTAAAACGCTTGTTTCTAAGGTTTTTTACTCAGAGATAGAGATTTAAAAGTGAATCATATTAATGGTTTGAGCTTAATGTTTGTTACTATGTTACTTTCCTGGAGCATTGTCCATCAAAAATGATACGTGCCCGTGCGGAATTTCACAATAATCAAATTAAATTAAAACTAAGTTTCAAAAGAAGGGCATTGTTTATTTAATTCTTTGTGATTGCGGTATTTGCTATGTGGGTCAAAGTAAGAGATTGCTTGGCATTCGTATAAGTAAACACTTACGAATGGTCAAAAACTATGATAATGAATCTGCCCTTGCTTCTCATTCAATACAATTTCAAAATACATTTGATTTTAATAATGTTAGAATTTTGGATCGAGAGGAGAATAGATTCAAACGCAAATTTTCTGAAATGATACATATTTTTGTTTATGATAATAATGTAAATAGACAGATTGATACTAACAAACTGAATGT